TTAATTTCCTGTATCACAGCCTTCATCTCTAATAATTCCATCTGATTCTTTTTTATGGTGTTTATTTTTTCTTTCAAATCATGAAAGGACTTCCTCATTTCCTGGAGCTTGTTGTCTCTTTTCTCTTGCATCTTATTTAGTTTTGTCACTATAAATATTCTGAATTGTTTATCTGACATTTCCACGAGTTCCATTGTATTGTGTGTGGACGATGAGGAATTGATGTTTTCCCTTGGCGGAGAGATATTTTCTTGGTTGCTCATATTTCTTGTGCCTCTGCGATGGTTCCAAGTCATCTGGTGATTTATACATTCCTTCCTGAATTCTTCAAATTAATTCTGAGCATCCAAAGGTGTGCGGGAATAGGTGATATAGCGATCTTTCTTCTGCCCTACCTCTCTGATGCTCACCAGTAACCTGCACTGTTGTCACTGGACTTGAATGATTCAAAGTTCTCCCAGTTTCTAGGGAACAGATATGCCTTGGACTGAGCTGCTGAGCTTTAACTGAAGAAGACAGTAGGGACCATGAGGCGTGCAATGAGTACCAGGCCCTTCAGAAAACCCTGAAGTCTTAGAATTCAGAGGTATATGGCAGGGGATGAGTCACAGTCTCTGCAGCTCAGTCTCCCTGTTGCTTAGTGCAGCCAGGCCCCTTGCTGAAATGTCACGATGGAGCAGGGAATGGGACAAAGTCTTCTCAAAGTCCCAATCAACACACCTGAGGGTTCAAAGGCGAGTGGGGGAGGGGATGAGCCACGGGTCTCTGCAGCACAGCCTTCCAGCCACCAACATTACCCATCTTATAAATGAATGTTTATTTGCAGTGATTTTGTTTAGTAGTACTGTTCTGCTATGCTTCGAATGTGTCACCCCCGCAAAATTCATGTGTTAAGATTTGATTTCTATTGTGTCTGGATTTAGAGGGTAGAGACTTAATCCATCTATGGGGTTGAGAGGTGGGGTCTTTGGGAAGTGGCTAGACATCAGGGTGGGACCTCCATGACTGGAAATTTGTGGGTTTATAAGAAAACACTGACGCAGACATGCTATGCTCAAACTCTGGCCATATGATGTTCTGGGCTCCTCAGAACCCCACCAACACGAAGGTCTTCACCAGATGCAGCCACTTAACCTTGGATCTCTAAAACTGAGCTCAATAAACCTGTGTCTTTTATGGCTCTTCACCATCTTTCCTCTTGCCCCGGAGCCGCCGCCATGAACGTTGAGCTGTGCAGTGGGTACGAGATATACCCCGGACATGGGAGGTGCTACGCCAGGCCGACGGGAAGGTTTTTCAGTTTCTTATTGCAAAATGCAAGTCAGCATTCCTTTCTAGGAGGAATCCTGAGCAGATAAATTGGACTGTTCTTTACAGAAGAAAGCACAGAAAGGGACAGTAGGAAGAAATTGAAAAGAAAAGGACCCGCCGCACAGTCAGATTCCAGAGGGCTAACACGGTTGCATCTCTTACTGATTTCATGGCAGAGAGGAACCGAAACCTGAAGTTAGAAAGCTCAGTGAGTACAAGCTATCAGGGCTGCCAAGGAAGCAAAAAAGGCTAAGCAAGCATCTAAAAAGACAGCAATGGCTGCTGCTCAGGCTCCCATGAAGGCAGCACCTAAGCAAAAGATTGTAAAGCCTGTGAAGGTTTCTGCTCCCAGAGTTGGCGGAAGACGCTAATTTAGCAGATCAGATTTTACAATAAAGATCTAACTATAAAACAAAACAAAAATAAAACCTGTGTCTTTTATGAATCACCCAGTTTCAGGTATTCGGTTATTAAGCCACAGAGTGGACTGAAACAATGCCTCCTGTATCCATCTGTAAGTAGCATTACCATTAAAATAATTCACAAACCCAGCCATCTTTCCCTTCCTGTTTAAAAAGGGTCTGTGCACTAAGGTACGCTTGTTTTGGAAGCAGACATAATTGGATTTGGATAATGGGCTCTACCACTTAATGGGTTTGGCTGCCTCTTCATCTATAAAATGAGACTTCATTAATTTTATTTGTAGAATTGCCTTTTATCTGCCAGAAACTGTTCTAGGATGGGAATATATAATTCAACTTAATGGATGTTTTTTCTGCTCACGGGCACTTATGCCGTTTAGTGGGAAACGAGATTATCCCACACCTATGTTGTCAGGGGGTGCAGAGCAGGTCTAGGCACAAGGAAGGGAAAGACACGAAAGGCAGAGATGAGAACAGGCCCCTCTGAAGGACGTGGGGCTCCCCATTATGGCTGGAGCATAGTGTATGATGGAAGTCAGGAAGAGATGAAGGTGGAGAGGTAAGCAAAGGTTGGATTAGAATAAAATGGACTTTTTTTCCTCCAAAAAAAAGTTGCATGTGCCTGCCTGACAGAGATAGAGACAGAAAGCAAGAAAGCACCTCTCCTTGGGCGTGGCCATCCTGCAATCCCTTTTCCTCCTCTTTGTCCTTATAGGAATTTGGGCACGCATGCACATGCACCTGGCATGTTTTCCAAGCTGCCAGGTTCAGGATTTGAACTGTGCCATTGGCCATGTAGGATCTAGCTGCCTTAAATACCTTGCCACAGGCTGGCTCTAGAATGTTTTCAATGCTTTGCTAAGAAATTATTCTGAGGAGAGGCCAGCAGGTGGTGTAGGCTGCATGGCGAACTCTGCAGTTTTGAGTCCCAGGCCCAGCAGCTGGAAAGTCACACTGGGTGTGTGTGCGTGCATGGCCATTCTCCCAAGGGGATGATTTCTCACGTTCTCTCTCTTTCTCTGTCTCTTTCCAGTGAGCACATGCACTCTATAGCAAATTTTAAAAAGTTTTTTTGGGTAAAAATTATTCTGAGGGTGGTATATCTAGATCCATAGGAGGGTATTAAAGAAAGGAGCAAAATGACCAGGCTTTCCTCTTGAGAAGACTGCTTGGAAAATGAAATGGAGAAACAGAAAGATGGAAGATTGGGAAACTAATCAGCCCTGCGATATGGTGTCGCTATCCAAGGTGTTGTGGCTGTCAGAGTGAAGAAGGGGGTAGTCAGCAGCTCTACGGATTAGTCAGATACGGGACATGAGGGCAAATGAGAGAAGGATGGCTCCCAGGCTTCTGGTTTGGCCAGTGATTCGGGCTGGAAATCTGACTATCAGCTGAGCGGTAGTGAGCCACATCAGCAGATGAGATCTGAGTGTCAGAACACGAGGAGACTGTGTATGTGCAGCGAGTGAGTCTTGGGCCTTTCCAGCATCTAGTCTTCTGGGTTGATCAACTTCTTTATTCATTCATCAAATATTTGTTAAGCATTAGAACATGCCAAAGACCTAGGGACATAGCATTGTAAAAAGTCTCTGGTTTTCCTTTTTTTAGACGAGTTCTTGCTGTCACGGCCCTCCTACCCCAGCAAGGTGTGTGCCACAGTGTCCCACTCCTTTTTAGACAGAGGCTGTGTCATCCAGGCCAGCGTCAAGCCTGTGACCTTCTTGCCTCAGCCTCCCTGCATTGCTATGATTAGAAACAAGTGCCACTTAAGACCAGCAGATGGCATAGCATTTACACCACTGGACTGCCACATGGCCAACCATGGTTCAAGTCCCAGACTTGGTGGCTTCAGACTCACACTGAGCATGTGTGCGTGTGTACCCAAGATCCCAGGAGAACAAAGGAGAAGGGATTGCAACATGGCCATCTCCACCCCAGTCCCAGGGGGGTGATTTCTCATTTTCTGTCTCTCTGTCTCTCCAGTGAGCACACACAGGATAAGGAGTGAGATAAAAGAGGTCGCTGTTTGGTTTAGGGTGATCCAGAAATCTCCCTGTTATGTGAACATTAGATTGGAAATGGTGTCTGAGCAAACACAGTTCTAGGCCAAGATAATAGAAAGTTCAGAAACTCTGTAAAGAGTGCGATTGACATTCTCAAAAAATAAAGAGCCAATGTAGCTGGAGCAGTCCGAGCCAGAGCAAGCTACATACGGCCTTTGTAGCATTTTTAAAATGTTGTCCGTCCATTCTGTCTGTTCTGTGACTAGACCGCAGGCTGCAGGCATGTAAGTTCCACCCAGCCAATCAAGGCTTATACTGTGATTAGTCTTGGTTGAACCAAGTATTCACTCAAAGCGCAGTATGTTGTCAGAGCAGCATTTGGGGGATCTCGTTGCCTAGAGAGACGCTGGACTGCTATGGGAGAGTGTGGCAGTTAGGAGTTATTGCCAGGTCTTGTGTCAGTGACTTGAGGGCCTGTCTGAAAGTGAAACCAACACAGAAGAGGAGAGCTGGACCAGTAGATGGGCAGATGTCCCTGACCACCTCATTTGGTCCTTGAACCCAAACATGCCAAAAGTCAGAAACCCCCCCACCCTAGATTTCCCAGTTACATAAGCCAAGAAGACTTTCTTCTTTTTCTTTCCTTTTTTTCTTTTTTTAAGTACCATAGGGTACATCTGCTCATCAGAGAGAGAGAAAGAGAAATAGAGTGAAAGCACCTGCCCATGGGACGTGGTCATGACACAATTCCTTCTCTTCCATCTCTCCACCCTGTCAGGATTTTGGGCATGCGCACATGCACCTGTCAAGCCTCCAAGCTGGGATTTGAACTCTCATCAGCTGTATGGGATCCAGCTCCCTTAATCATTAGGCCACAGGGCTGCTCAAGCATTTTGTTTTTGTTTTTGTTTTTGCCATAGGGTGCATGCACTGGATCCAGCTCCCTTAATCATTAGGCCACAGGACTGCTCAAGCATTTTGTTTTTGTTTTTGCCATAGGGTGCATGCACTTGCCAGAGAAAGAGACAGAGAGAATGAGAAAGAAAGTGAGAAACACCCCCAGGGGGATGTCCACACTGCAATCCCTCTCCTCTATTTTCCTAGGATTTGGGGCATACATGCCCACGTGCCTGGTGTGATTTTCAAACTGCCAGGTTCAGGACTCAAATTGCTGTCGGCCATGTGCCTTAACCACCGTGCCACCTGCTGGCCAGCAGCATTTTCTTTTTATTCAAGCTGAGTTATATTTTTGGTTACTCACCAGCCTCATTGATATAAATAGAAGAAACGGAGTCATTGAATCAAAACGAAAAGGATTGAGTGACCTGCATGAAAGGAAGACGTCCAGGGAGAAGTAAAGGAAATCAAACATCCGAGGATGCATTTTCAGCAGTGTGAAGGCTGAATGAATGCTGAATTAACAAATGTTAAGGTGAGCACACAAGAAGCTTATGAGAGTCCAGCACAAAATAGGTAATTAAATAGCATCTAGGGCCTGCTCTGTGCTGCAGCGGTAAGGCACTGCTCATGAAGCTGGATCCCACAGGGCACCCACACTCTAAATCCTTGGCCTAGTCAGCCTGAGAACGCATCGAGTGCCCATGATTGGAGGGGCTGGGGGACTAGAGGAAAGGGATCTTAGCATAATCAGATGTTGTGGAGGGTACTTCTCTCTCACACACACACTCACCCTCTGTCTTTCATGTGCTCCATCATGAATAAAGATAAAAATATTCTAAAAAGAAAGAAAGAAAAGAAATAGGGCCAGCCAGGAGGTGTGGTGGTTAAGGTGGCTAGATCCCACATGGGTGACCAGACCCAGTGGCTTGCAAGCCTGCACACATGCCTGGAATGTGTGCATGTGTGCCTCAAATCCCAAGAAAATAGAGACAGGATTACAGCATGGTCATCCCTCTAAAGGGTGATTTCTCACTCTCTCTCTCTCTCTTTCTCTCTCTCCTCAGCAAGCATATGCACCCTATAGCAAGAACTGGGGGTCGGGGGAGAGTATCAGGCCAGTCGGTGGAATGGAGGTTAAGTTAGGTGGATTCCACATGGCCAACTGCACAGGCTTAAAAAACATGCAAGGTACATGTGCATGCATTCTCCTGGGAGGAGAATGGAGAAGGGATTACAGTAAGGCCATCTCTGGGTGTGTGTGTGTGTGGGGGGGTGTGGGGAGGTGATTTCTTCATTTCCTTCTCTGTATCTCTGACTCTTCAGTGAGCACATGCACCTTATGTCAAAAATCTAAAAACAAGCCAATAAATAAATAAATTGGCTAAGTGTCCACCTTAGTTTTGAAAAAGAATAAATTCCAAAAAGTGAAAATAGAAATGATTAAAAAGTCAATGAGGGGGACCAGCAGCTAGCATAATGGCTATCTAAAAACAAGCCAATAAATAAATAAATTGGCTAAGTGTCCGCCTTAGTTTTGAAAAAGAATAAATTCCAAAAAGTGAAAATAGAAATGATTAAAAAGTCAATGAGGGGGACCAGCAGTTAGCATAATGGCTATGTCGCTGGACTCCCATGTAGTTGACCATGGTTCGAGTCCTGGACCCGGTGGCTTAAACTCACACCGGGCGCGTGTGCGTGTGTGCCCAAGATCCCAAGAGGAGAATGGAGGAGAAGGGATTGCGGCATGGCCATCCCCCCTGGAGGGTGATTTCTCGCTTTCTGTCTCTCTGTCTGTCTCTGTCTCTCTCTCAAAAACCTCTCAAAAAAAAAATGTCAATGAGGGTTGGGGCCAGCAGGTGGTGTTGTGAATAAGTCACTGGACTCTCACACATGACTGACCAGGGTTTAAGTCCTAGACCCTAGTGACTTGAAAATCTCACCAGACCCACGAGCATGTGCTCTCTCTGGCAAGCACACACACCGTACAACAACAACAAAAAAAGTGAGGGTGAGCTGACGGCATGGTGGTTGGTTAAGGCATCTGGATCCCGCATGGCTGACAGTGCAGTTTGAATCCTAGACTCAACTGCAGGTGCATGTGTGTGCATGTCCAAAATCCCAAGAGGGAAATGAAGGATTTCAGGGTGGCAATTTCCATGGGAGGGGGCATTTCTCACTTTCTTTGTCTCTGGTGAGTGCACACACCTGATGGCAAAAATTTAAAAAAAAAAAAAAGAGTCAGTGAAATATAGGAAAAGATACAGTAAAAACAGCAAAGCTAAAAATGTTCTCTGAGGTAAACAAAAAAAATAGATAAACCTCTGGGATTAACGGTAGGGGAGAAGAGGGCACAGATTACGTGATTAAGGAGACATAGGCAGAGATCCACTGAGTTGAAAATTCTATGCCAGCAAATTTGAAAACTTTGATAAACTGGAAGAAGTTATAGGAAATGCCCTATCAAGACCCTGTAAAGATAGGAAAATACCCTTCCGGCAATAGAAGGGTGACTAAACCTATAATTGCTAAGGAAATTGAAGTAGGTGACTTAAAATCTCACATGGAGAACACAATGTCCAGATGCTTTGGGTGTACAGTGCAAGGGTAGTGAGTTTATAACTTTCTTTTTTGAAAGGTTTTTGCTATAGGGCGTGTGTGCTCACCAGAAAGACAGACAGAGAGACAGAAAGCGAGAAATCATCCCCCCAGGGTGGATGGCCACGCCGTAATCCCTTCTCCTCCATTCTCCTCTCAGGATCTTGGGCATGCACTCACACGCGCCCGGCATGAGTTTTAAGCCACCGAGTCCAGGACTAGAACCTATGTTGTCTACATGGGAGTCCAGCAACATAGCCATTATGCTAACTGCTGGTCCCATGAGTTTTTAACTTTAAACATCTAAAAATTATGGACAATATCATGACTTTTTCTATAGTATTTGGGGAGGATAAGTAACATTCATTTGCATATAGATGTTAGGGGGTTTTGTGAGAGTACTTTGTTAACGACCTCTTTGTTATGTACGGTTTCAATTTTCATATCTTTTAGATACTCGGATTGGAACTGCATTTGGAATTTACTTTACTGACAATGCCACCATCAAATGGAAGCCCCGTTGTGTACACTCCCCCAGATGGAGGCTGGGGGTGGGCAGTGGTAGTAGGAGCTTTCATTTCCATTGGCTTCTCTTGTGCATTCGGCAAATCTATTTCTGTATTTTACAAAGAAATCGAAGGTATATTTCATGCCAGCACGAGTGAAGTGTCATGGATCTCTTCCATCATGTTTGCTGTCATGTATGGTGGAGGTAAGTACCCACAGAGGTCTGTTCTCTAGCTTTTTTTTTGCAGAGGTCTTTGATAAAGGGTGCATGCGCTTGCCAGAAAGACAAAGAGACAGAAAGCGAGAAATCACCCCCACCCCCCAGGGGAATGGCCATGCCGCAATCCCTTCTCCTCCATTCTCCTATTGGGATCTTGGGCACTCACACACACGTGCCTGGCGTGAGTTTAAACCACCGGGTCCGGGACTAGAACCATAGTCGACTACATGGGAGTCCAGTGACATAGCCATTACACCAACTGCTGGTCCCACTCTTAAGCTCTTAATAGGCAGACAGACACCTTATTTTTGATGCCTTCATCAGTGAAGTTTTTGAAATGGTTTTTGAAGCTGTGTGATTATAATTATTTTTCATTTCTTTTGTCATTAAAGGCTATTTTCTCAATAATAACCAAATGTTTTGTTAGATAAATCATAATTTTATAGAATAGTTATTATTAAAAAGAATAACTTTCCTGAAAAGTTCATTGAAAGGCAATTTATTTTTGTATTTTAACTATCTTGTAACCTTGCTAAGCTCTTGGGGGGTATTTTGTTTTTTGGGTTTTTTTTGGTTTTTGTTTTTTGTTTTTTGGGTTTTTTTGGTACACACATACGGGCCCAGCATGAGTTTAAGCCATTAGGTCCAGGACTTGAACTGTGGTTGACTACATGGGAGTCCAGGAACATAGCCATACACCAAGTGCTGATCCCTTTCATTTTTATTTATTATTCTGAAACATTTTTTAATTAATTTACATTCATTCCCTAAGCATCATCACAGCAAACAAAATGTAATTTCCCATCCAGAATATACTGCATAGTGTCTTAATCATGCATGTTATTGTCAGTAATTTTCCATTCCTAGTTTCATATATCTATATATAAAATCCCTATTTCTCACCCTCTGCCCTTTCCCACCCTCTAAGCTCTTATTTCTCATAGTTTTTTGGTAGATGCTGCCTAAATTTTTAGATATGCAAACATAATTTCTGCAAATGTTGGTAGTTTGATTTCTTCCCTTTCCTTACACCTTTTCTTCCCTGGCTTGCTGTGCTGGCTCCGACTCCCAGTATCATGGTGAAGAGAACTGGTGATGGTAGGTGTCCTCGTTTTGTAGTTTGGTTTGGTTCTCTATGAGAAACAAAGCATACTTTAGCTAGTTTATAAGCATATGCTCTGAAGTCAGAAATTTCTTTAGATTTGCTCATACGTCTCATCATCTGTCTTAGCCACCAATACCCATCTAAAACATTAAAAATGTAGCAAACTGGGGACCAGCGGTTAGTGTAATGGCTATGTCGCTGGACTCCCACGTAGCCGACCGTGGTTCGAGTCCCGGACCCGGTTGCTTAAACTCACGCCGGGCGCGTGTGCGTGCGTGCCTGAGATCCCGAGAGGAGAATGGAGGAGAAGGGATTGCGGCATGGCCATCCCTCCGGGGGGTGATTTCTCGCTTTCTATCTCTCTCTCTCTGTCTGTATGGCAAGTGCATGCACCCTATAGCAAAAAAATGTAGCAAACTTGCTAAATATGCTAGCAAACACTTCTCAAAAAAAAAAAAAAATGTAGCAAACTTGCTAAATATGTGAGATCTTCAAAAGCTTATGGGAAAAAATGTGTTACAAGAAACTATCCATGGATTTCCAAATTTTTTGCATCAAAATGAATTCATACTTTTATTCCATTTTTTCCATGAACTTTTTGAAGTCCCCTTAACCACCATGCCACCTGCTGGCCCCAAGAGAATTATTTTTATTGCCAAAGAGCATGTGTGCTCACTAGAGACAAAGAGAGGGAGAAGGAGAAAATACCCCTCAATGGGATAGAATTACACCACAACCCCTTCTACATTTCTGTATTTTGTCAGGATTTTGGGCACACACACACACACACATGTGCCTGACATGTTTTTCATGCTGCTGGGGTTGGGGTTCAAACTGCAGTTGGCCATGCGGGATCCATCTCCCTTAACCAAGAGGCTATAGGGCCAGCCCAATACAGGAAGGATTTTATGAATATGTAAAATCAGAGTATTTGCAGCCTATTCTGCTTTTAAGAGATTGATTAAGGTCTTTTACACTTCAGTTAAAACCTGTCCAATATGTTCTATTAACGGGTGTGTAGAAAACGTATGATTGGTGCTACTGTTTTTGTGCATAAATCTATGACCCTGAAATAATGATCGGAAGCGACATTCCTTACCACTGCTTACTGTGTATTTAGAGGGCAGGGATTTTTGTCTTGGTACCCTTTCTGTCAGCAGTGCCTTGTGTGGGGTTGGATGTGAGGAATGGGCTGCTCCTTTACGTGAGTTGTTTGTTGTTTCCTAGGCCCGATCAGCAGCATCCTGGTGAATAAATATGGCAGCCGTCCAGTGATGATAGTTGGAGGCTGTTTGTCAGGCTGTGGCTTGATTGCAGCTTCTTTCTGTAACACCGTTCAGGAGCTTTACTTGTGTATTGGCGTCATTGGAGGTGAGTCACTACTGATTCTTTTTTTAAAAATTATTTTATTTGTTCATTTATTTTATTTTAATTTGACCAGAGAGGGACAGAGTGAGAGAGCAAGAGAGAGGAAAGTGAGAAAGCAAGTCACCAGGTCCAGGACTCGAACTGTGGTCAGCCATATGGGAGTCCAGTGCCTCTAACCACCATGCCACCCTGCTGGCCCCACTACTGATTCATTCCTAAGTATTATTATTTTTTTGTGTGTGTGGACCACATATAGCATTCGTCTGCCATTTTATTTTTTGAGAAATAAAATTTCTTCATTAGAAAAAACAGAGGTTTTATTTTAAAGAGCTGTAAATGTGTTAAGAACAGCAGACAAGCAAGCTTTTAAAGAATGTCCTGGCACATAATGGGTAGTTATTGTTTGTTGAATAAATTAGTTACGAGTTTCCTTCCTTCCTTTCTTCTTCCTTTTCTTTTTTTGGTATTAAGATAGAGTAGATAAAGGGTATGGGGTGAGCTGTGAATGGTGCGTTAGGGGTCAGCAGATGTTGTGGAGGTTAGGCAGCCAGATCCCACATGGCCACTGCACGGTTTAAGTCCTGGACCCACTGGCTTGAAAATCATGCCAAGCACATATGTATGCGTGCCCAAGATCCTCAGAGGAGAATGGAAAAGGGGTTGTGGCTTGGCCATCCCCCCAGGGGTGTACACACCCTCTGGCAAATTAAAATAAATAAATAGATATTTTAATCCATTCACAATAATAACACAAGGCAGGAATATCACTTTAGTTGTTCTTCTCTAGTTATTCAACTTTTATTTTTTCCTTTATTAATCAATTCATCAAACATTTACCGAGGCCCTGCCGTGTTGGTGCAGACAGTAGTGTACTGATCTGCAGTGCTGGATGCCACATGGCCAGCCATGGGTTTGGATGCCAAATCAACGTGAAATGTGACATGCATGCATACCGAGGGTCATGACTAGTTCCAGGCTGGGGAGAGGGGATTGCAGGGTAATGAGACCTTGTCGAGGGTATCCTCCCCCACCAATCTCTTTCATGAAAGAAATAAAAAATAAACTTAAAAAATTATTGATTTATTTATTTAGTGAATCTCTACTATATGCCAGGACTTAATATTGATTGAATCTCTACTATGTGCCAGGCACTAAAGCACTGTGGGGGCAGGGTCTACATGGTAGACAAGATTCCGGCTCTTTAGTGGAGGGAAGCAGACAGTCCAACAGATAAATGAATAAATAAGAAAAATACTAGATAGTAATAAATACTAAACAAAAACTTTAAATCGGTTTTCTTTGTTTCTTCATTCACGTGCATGTGAGAGAACGAAAGAGAAACACCCTCCATGGTGCTGAGTTGCTGCAATCCCCTCCCTCCAGCCCGCCAGCCTGCCAGGATCCTGGGCATGTGCATAGGTACAGTGTGTTTTCAGCCTGGCAAAGAGCTGGCACGTGGCTTCTAGCTTCAAAGACCTGTACTCTACTTACGGTACCAGAGACTGGGCCAAGAGCTATGATTTTATTTATTTATTTATTTTGAGAGATTTTTGCTATAGGGCACATGTGCTTGCCAGAGATACAGAGGGAGACAGAGACAGAAAGTGAGAAATCACCCCCTAGGGAGAAGGGCCATGATGCAATCCTTTCTCCTCCATTCTCTTCTTGGGATTTTGGGCATGCATGCAGATACACCTGGCGTGAGTTTAAGCTACCAGGTCTGGGCCTCCAATTGTGGTCGACTATATGGGAGTCCAGTGACATAACCATTACGCCATCTGCTGGTCCCAATATCTGTTTTTTTGTTGTTGTTTGTTTTTTTAATAATAATAATAATAATAAATTAAATAAAAAACAAAACAAAACAAAACAAAACAAAAAACAGAATCTTTCTGTGTCAAGATTCTCTGCCTCGGGAACCAGCAGCTAGCATAATGGCTATGTCGCTGGACTCCCACGTAGTCGACTGCGGTTCGCGTCCCGGACCCGGTGGGTTAAAACTCACACCGGGCGCATGTGCGTGCGTGCCCAAGATCCCGAGAGGAGAATGGAGGAGAAGGGATTGCGGCGTGACCATCCCCCCTGGGGTCACTGTCTCTCTACCTAACCCATGTGCCCTATGGCCAAACAAACAAAAAAACAAACCTTAAAAAAAAAAAAAAAGATTCTCTGCCTCACCTGCATAACTGGGCCTGCAGGTGCCTGCTTTCAAGGTGGGCTGAGTGTCAGACCTGGGTCCCCCTCTTAGCTAGAGCCGGAGCTAGCTAAGGGCCAAATCCTCGGCTTCCCGACCAGGGTGAGAAGTATGCATGGGCAGTTCTTGGAAAGATAGAAATGAGAGTGCCCTGGCCTGCTTTACCGATAGGACAGCAAGAATGAGAGACTACGTAGGAACTTCGTGGAATCATTATTTCTCCCAGCCCCACTGACTGAAAAATCTATTTTTTCCTTGTTGTTTCCAATTCCCTGTTCCTCAGGAAAGCTAATATTATGAACCTAAATATAGAATACTACATTTATTATTCTTTTGGTTGCTAGAGTGGAAAGATTTGTTTTATGTTAAATTTTAAAGTTGGCATTTGCTACATAAAGAGACTTTATAGCTATATTTATTTGATATCCACCCACCTAATGATCTAGGAAGTGTACAAGCCTCCCTTGGGCTGGCCCCATGGGCTGGTGGTTAAGAGGGTGAGATCCCATACCGCACAGTGAGTCCCAGCCCTGGGAGCTTGAAAATCACACTGGGTACATGTGTGTGCTAGCCCAGAATTCCAGCAGGATGGAGGAAAGGAGAAGGGATTGCGGCGTGACCACGCCCCTCCTCATGGGGTGCTTTCTCCCTTTCTCTCTTCTGTCATCTCTCTCTGGTAAGTATGCACGTGCCCTCTAGTAAACTAAAAGCCTCTCTTACAATGGTGCTGAATTTGTTCTTTTTCTGTTTCGTTTGTATTTAATTGTTAATAAATGTTTCTGACACTTATCACAATAAGTAGTTTTTTACTTTCCCTTCCAGGCCTTGGGCTTGCCTTCAACTTGAATCCAGCTCTGACCATGATCAGCAAATATTTCTACAAGAGGCGACCACTGGCCAATGGGCTGGCCATGGCTGGCAGCCCTGTGCTCCTTGCAGCCCTGGCCCCCCTCAATCAGGCTCTCTTTGATATCTTCGGCTGTAGAGGAAGCCTCCTAATTCTTGGGGGTATCTTACTAAACTGCTGTGTAGCTGGATCCCTGATGCGACCCGTAGGGCCTAAGCCTAGCCAGATGGGGCAAGATAAGTCTAAAGAATCCTTTCAGGAAGCTGGAAAATCTGAGACAGAAAAAGGTGCGGGCGACGCAAGCCCAGAACTTAACAGCGGAAAGCCCAAAGAGGAGAAGCGATCCGTTTTCCAAAGGGTTAACAAACTTCTGGATTTATCCCTGTTCGCTCACAGAGGCTTTGTCCTGTACCTCTCTGGTAATGTAATAATGACTTTCGGACTGGCTACACCTTTAATCTTTCTCAGCAGTTACGCCAAAAGTCAACATCACACTAGCGAGAAGGCCGCCTTCCTTCTTTCTATTTTGTCTTTTGTCGACATTGTAGCCAGACCGTCTATGGGACTTGTAGCTAACACAAAATGGGTAAGACCGCGGATTCAGTATTACTTCGCTGCTTCTATCATCGCAAACGGAGTGTGCCATATGGTGCTGCCTTTATTCACCAGCTACATCGGGTTCTGCGTCTACGCGGGCGTCCTTGGATTTGCCTTTGGGTGGTTTAGCTCGGTGTTGTTTGAAACACTGATGGACCTCATTGGACCCCAGAGGTTCTCCAGCGCCGTGGGACTGGTGACCATTGTGGAATGCTGTCCTGTCCTCCTGGGGCCACCGCTTTTAGGTATAGTATGTCTTCTTACCTCTGGTTCCATTACCATGAAACAAGCATGTACCATTGGGAAGGGGACAGAAAGCAGAGATTACTAGGCTGGCTCATAGCCTGATGGTTAAGAAGAGCTGGATCTCACATTGCTGACCATGGTTCGAATCCTGACTCAGCAGCTTGAAAAAATAACACTCCAGTATGTGTATGTGTGGGCCCTAAATCCCAGCAACATGGAGAAATGGAGAAGAGGAGATTGTACTACGACCATCCCCCGGGCGGTGCTTTCTCACTTCTCTCTCTCTCTCTCTCTCTCTCGTGAGTGCACATGCTCTCTGGCAAGAAGGGAAGGAAGGAAGAAGAAAGGAAGAAAGCAGAGCTCGGTGAGCTGTTGGATGGCAAAGTGTGAGACTTTCTCCTCTGCACCCTCAGTGCTGGCTCAGCATGAATGCTCAAATGCTCACAGAATTGAAGTGAATCAGACCATTAAGCTGAAAGGAGAATCAAATATTATTACAAAGCTTCAGTGGTTTTTTTCCCACACTTTTTCTTTCTTTCTTTTTTTTAATTTAACTTTATTTATTTATTTATTTTACTTTTGACCAGAGAGGGACAGGGCAATCAAGCAAAGGAGAGAGAGAGAGAGAGAGAGAGGGGACGTGAGAAAGCAAGCCACCAGGTCCGGGACTCAAATCGCAGTCAACCCAGTGAGAGTCCAGAGTCCTTAATCACCACACCACCTGCTGCCCCTCCCTTCCTTAATTTTGTCAGAAGGTGCATGCATTTGTCAGACAGACATAGAGAGGGAATGTGAGAAAGAAAACCACACACACACACTCCCCATCTCACCACAATCCCTTCTCCATATCTCCCTCCTTTCAGGATTTTGGTCATACATGAATAGGAGCCTGGAGTAGTTCTCAAGCTGCCGATTCCAGGACTCGAACCATGCGGTCTGCCCTGTGGGATCTTGTTGCCTTAACCACCACGCCACCAGCTGGCCCAGCATTTGATTGACTGACTTTCTTTCTTTCTTTCTTTCTTTCTTTCTTTCTTTCTTTCTTTCTTTCTTTCTTTCTTTCTTTCTTTCTTTCTTTTTTTTACTTTTTTGGGATTTGTTTGTTTGTTTTTAGTTTGCTATAAGGCACATATGATCCCGAGAGAGAGACAGAGAGAGAGAAATCACCCCCCCCCCCCGAGGGGATAGAATGCCACAGTCCCTTCTTCATTTTCCTTTCAGGACTTCGGGCACACACATATGCACACACATCCAGCATGTTTCTTAAGCCACTATCTGAGACTTAAACCCCACAGCCATGTAGGATCCAGGCACTTTAACATCCATGCCATCTGCCCTCCACCCCCTGCCAACATTTGTTTGCTTGTTGATTTTTGCTTTTAGCCATGGGGTGTGTGTGCTCACCAGAGACAGGGAGGCAGAGGAAGGGAATGTGAAAAATTACCTCCCAGACAGATGGTCATGCCACAATCCCTTCTCCATTCTCTCAGGATTTGGGGCATGCACACACATGTGCCTGGCATGAGGTTCAAGCTGCAGGGCTCATGGGAGTCAGCATGTGTGAGTCCAGTGCCTTATGCTACCTGCTGCCCCACTCCCCTTGATGTTTTTTAAAATAATTTTTTCTGGGGACCAGCAGTTAGCGTAATGGCTATGTCGTTGGACTCCCACGTAGTCGACCATGGTTCGCGTCCTGGACCTGGTGGCTTAAAATTCACACTGGGCGCATGTGCATGCGTGCCCAAGATCCCGAGAGGAGAATGAAAGAGAAGGGATTGTGGCGTGGCCATCCCTCTGGGGTTGGGGGTGATTTCTTGCTTTCTGTCTCTTTGTCTCTCTGTCTGGCTAGCGCATGCGCCCTATAGCAAAAAAAAAAAAACAAAAAAAACAAAAACAAACTCTAAAAATATTTTTTTTTCTGGGGCCGGCAGGTGGCATGATGTTTAAGGCGCTGGACTCCTACATGGCAGACTGCAGTTCAAGTTCCAGACCTGGCACTTGCTTTCTCACTTTCTCCCTCCTTGTCTCTCTCTGGCTAAGTTGTTTTTTTTTTTAATAATATTAAATAAAATTATTCTTAAACAGTAATTTTTCTGTCATAAAACTAGCATGATTAATATAGAAAAATACATAATGTACAACTTCACTTTTAACATACTAGTGGTGATTGCATTTTAATCATGAAATTTATCTCCATAGTAATATTTAATATAACAGTAGCGATCCGGTGAGAGCTCATAGTGTACCAGAGGCTGTCAAATCATTTATATATCCTGTCATATCTCCCAAGAGGAAAATGGAAGAGAAAGGATTGTGTGACGTGACTATCCCCGCCGGGGGGAAGGGAGGTGATTTCTCACTTTCTGTCTCTCAGTCTGTCTCTGTCTCTCTGGCGAGCACATGCACCCATAGCAAAAAATCTCTCTAAAAAACAAACAAAAATTATTACTTGGGACATGTGTGTGTGCTTGTGAACAAAATCCTGAAAAGGAATGGAGGAGAAGGAATTGTGGCATGGCCATCCCTCCCTCCCAACCAGGTGTTTTCTCACTCCCTCTCTCCTCTGTCTTTGGTGAGCTCACACGCCCTGTAGCAAATTTTTGTACAAGAAAGTAAAAGGAAACAAAATCAGCATGGTATTATAAATGACAGAGCAGGTCAGTTTAACAATTCTTTTTTATGCTGATGTGTCATTTGTGGGCGCTTTGAGGATGGGATTGACATCTTCTTTCCGAGTAGATGATTAAATTCTGTTTAGGGAAGGGTATCCTTGTTTATTTTTACCTACATACTTTTTTCTTTTTTAACTTATCTTCAGGTCATCTCAATGACATATATGGAGACTACAAATACATATACTGGTCTTGTGGTGTAATCCTAATTACCGCAGGCCTCTATCTCTTTATCGGCATGGGCATCAGTTATCGACTTGAGGCAAAAGAACAGAAAGCAGAGAAGCAGACGAAGGAAGGCAAAGAAGAGGAGCCCAAAGAAGTTCCTGAAGAATGTGGACTAGGAAGGGCCCCAGAGAACAGAGCATCTAGTCTGAAATCATAACCAGAGGAGTTTTGACCAAAGAGAACTGAAAATTCAACTGAACCCTGTTCTCTGAGTGTAGGACAGTGGGCACGCCCATGGAATCACATTAGGCACTCAGCAATGGAATTCTTACGTAACTCTTTTATAGCAGTCTAAAATAACTGATTATATTCTAGGGACAGGGGATTGATAAAAAATGAAGGAAGGGGAACCAGCAGTTAGCGTAATGGCTATGTCGCTGGACTCCCACGTAGTCAACTGCGGTTCGCGTCCTGGACCCGGTGGCTTAAAACTCACACCAGGCGCATGTGTGTGTGTGCCCAGGATCCTGAGAGGAGAATGGAGGAGAAGGGATTGTGGCGTGACCATCCCCCCTGGGGGGTGATTTCTCGCTTTCTGTCTCTATGTCTCTCTCTGTCTGTCTGGCGAGCGCACGCGCCCTACAGTGAAAATCTCTCCAAAAAAAAAAAAAAATGAAGGAAGATAATTACTTTTATTTGAACTCAGATTTATTAAGGTATACTCAACATATATTACAATTCCCCCTTTTTAAAGTTGTATGAGAGGGTGTTTTGTTTTTGTTTTTGTTTTGGAGAGCTTTTTTCTATAGGGTATGTGTGCTCTCCAGAGAGACAGAAAGACAGCAATCACCCTCCAGGGGGGATGGCCACACCACAATCTCTTCTCCATTCTCCTCTCAGGATCTTGGGCACACACACACATACACCCAGCATGAGTTTCAAGCCACTGGGTCCAGGACTTAAACCTTGAGCGACCATGTGAGAGTCCAGTGCCTTAACCACTACGCCACCTGCTGGCCCCAAGTTTTATGAGTCTCAATGGAAATGTTGAGTCAAATAACTACTACCCAATATAGAACATTTCTAACAACCAAAACAGTTTCCTCCTGCCCTTTTGCAGTCATCGGCTTCCCTCACCCCCCACCCATGGCAGCTACTGATCTGATTGCTGCGGCCTGCAGTTTTGCCTTTTCCAAAACTGGGTAAGTGGAATCACGTGTGTAGCTGTGGCATAGTGGGAAATGTATCGTGGTCTTTGTCCACACAGCTCCTAAAAGCCTTGTAATCGCTGGAGTGAGAAGAAGTGTTTTTTGTAGGAAATTATCTGTTGATAATGTGTATAATACCTTTAACTGGACAAATACACAGTGTATTCATCTGGGAACATTCATTTTGCAGGCTGTAATGATACACAGAGATTAAATGTATAAAAACTAACAACTATGGAAAGAAGGAAAAAAGTAAATACATTATGGGAAGAAAAGAATTGTTTTTTGCGTGTTAACGAGATGGCTGGTGACAAGAGTCCTCTAATAGCTTCAGGATGGGGCTGGTCTCCAGAAAGACCAAGGAGCAATTAGAGGACTGGAACTTTCACCTCCAGCCCCTGAGCTCTGGGAGGGGGAGGCTTGTAATGAAACCTCCATTAAAAATCCCCAAACAACAGGGTTCAGAGAGCTTCTGGGTTGAAGAACACTTTGAGGCGCTAGGAGGGAGGCTAGCTCCCAGGGAGAGGGCTCCATGGCCGTCCCTCACACCTCACCCTATGAATCTCTTCCTTCTGGCTTTTTCTGAGTGGTATGTTTTATAATAAATCAGTAAAGGTAAGCAAAGTATTTCTCTGAATTCTCTGAGCTGTTCTAACAAGTTATTGAACTTGAGCAGGTTGTAAGAACCCCAAGTTAGAGGTGATTATCAGAAATCTAAGATCTGGGACAAGCAAACGGTATTAGAAATGAGTGTAGTCCTATGGGGCTGAGTCTCTGATTTCTGGAGTTTAATACTAACTCTGAATAGTTAGTGGCAGAATTTAATTGGATTGAGAACCAGCAGATGGCATAATGGTTACATCACTGGACTCCCACTTAGTCGACTGCAGTTCAAATCCCAGATTTGGCAGCTTAAAACACGCCAAGCACATGTGTGTGCATGCCCAAGATCCTGAAAGGAGAATAAAGGAGAAGGGATTGCGACATGGCCATCCCCTCTGGGGCGGGGTGGGGGGGTGATTTCTTGCTTTCTGTCTCTGGTGAGCACACACGCCTTACAGCAAAAATCTCACTTTAAAAACATTTAGGGACCAGGGATCAGCAGTTAGCGTAATGGCTATGTCGCTGGACACTCATGTAGTCAACCCCAGTTTGAGCCCGACCCGGTGGCTTAAACTCACGCCGGGCATGTGTGTGTGTGTGTGTGTGTGTGCGCGCGCGCACCCAGGATCCCAAGAGGAGAATGGAGGAGAAGGGATTGCGGCATGGCCATCCCTCCTGGGGGG